TACCTGGTTACGTTGCTCATGATGATGTGCTGCACAATGTTGATCAGAGACCCGTGGGCACCAAACAGGACCGTAAGCTCTCGCTTCAGCCAAGGAACCAGGCGGTGAAGGCAAGCAGGGTTGCGGCGGAAGAACTCGGCCGAAATCTCTCGGTATCGGCCGCCGTCCTGGATGCTGCGGATGCGCACGCCGGTGCGGTACAGAGCCCTGCGGAAGGTGATCATGTCCTCCTCCTGGATCTGCCTCAGAGATCTGCCCTCCGCGCTGGCCTTCCTCCTTGAGGCCAGCCTCCTGAGCATCTGCTGAATCTCCCTGTGCCTGTGTCGCGCCGGCTCGCTCGACAGCCCTTCAAACAACATCCCGTTATCCGGAGGAGACGGCATCCTTCGAGAAGGGGAACCGCGCGCGCGGCGTTCCCTCGTCAAGGTGGTGCGGTAACGAAACCTCCGGCCGTCGGGGCTGGCAAAAGAGCTTGTTTCTAAAGGGCTGAGGATGTACTCCTTGAAGTCATCTTCAGCACGAATCGTGTGGAAAATGGAGAAGAAGGGTTGCTTGCAGAGCGGGCATTCTGCTTTGTTCTTGGACCACTCTTGCACGCAGCGGAAGCAGAACCTGTGCAAGCAGCGATCCAGATATGCCACGTTGTCAAATCTGTCCAGGCAGATGGGGCACTTGGAGTCGGGAGACGCATCTGTCGGCAGCTTACTGGTGCTGGCTTTCGGAGAAAAACTGCTATTTTCAGCAAACTCCTTATCTGATGTCATGTTCTAGAAAAGACAGAGACAGAAGATCTTTGCTGTCACAGAGAGGCTAAAATCTTACACTGTAGAAACCCATAACAATTGCTTTCACAGTTGCAAAACCCAGCAGAAGCTCTGAGAGGATGCTGAACAAAGACGCAGCATGATCTAACTACTTGGTTTGACTTCTCTTCACACTGAGGTCTAGTTCTTTAGTGCTGCAAGTTTTACACAGCACCCAAATCATGCTGGCACTGATGAAGGTAACAGGCAGGCCTGTCTTCTTCCCCACTCGTAAATAACTCCGTTGATGTGGTCAGTAAATTTATTATTTACATGGTATCCTCCAAAATATAGCTTAAAAAATCTAGCATTTATATATGAAAAGTATGAGAACAGTTAGCTCTGTACTTTAAAACAAACCAATCAAAAGAAGTAACTGGGCTTTAACCATGTTATCACCTTCCAAGTTCTGCTGGACCTGTTCTGTTCCTGCACAGTCTGCCCCTCTTTGTTGGGCATTCATGCTGGACCACACACAGTTTGTTGGACAAGACAATCTCCAGGGATGTGTTCCTGCCAAAATGAGCATTTTTTTTTCAAGATGAAGGACAAACAACCAGATGTCATGCTGAAGTACACACTGCCTTTTTACTGAAGGACAAACAACCAGATGTCATGCTGAAGTACACACTGCCTTTTATCTAGTAGGTTGTTATGCCATTCGCCTGAGATAGTAAATTTTCTACACAGTGACTGGTCTGGGGCTGAGCTTTGAATTTTTGTTGAACACAGTGTTGATAACACAGAGATATTTTTGTTATTGCTGAGCAGGGCTAACACGGAACTTTTTGTTCTTCCAAACTGGTGGGGCATGGGAGGTTGGGAGGAGATGCAGCTGGGGCAGGTGACCCAAACTGACTAAAGGGATTTCCAAACCATGTGACATCCTCAATATATAACATGGGGGAAAGAAGGAGGAAAGGTGAGATGTTTGGAGTAATGATGCTTGTCTGCTCAAATCACATCAGACATGATAGGGCCCTGCTCTCCTGGAGATGGCTAAACATCTGCATGTCCATCGGAAGCAGTGAATTAAGTCCTTGTTTTGCTTTGGTTGCGTGCATGGCTTTAGGCATCCTTATTTAACTGTCTTCATCTCAAATGACAAGTTTTTCAGCTCTCACCCTTTCAATTTCCTCCCTGATCTCAGGGAGTGTGCAAGTGGCTACGTGGTGCTTGGCTGCGGTGAAATCATGAGAGATGTCAAACATGGTCAACAAAAAATCAATCGATTGAAAAGTTATTTTCAGTTTTGGCGTTACCCTAAGGCATTACAATCCAGTGGAAGTAAGCTACCACTCTACTTCAAAATGCATTAGCCCATGTTTTGCAGCCTGTCTGGCAGCAGCCTTTGCGGCGGCAGGACACCGGGGGATGGGGCAGCAGCAGCGCCGGGGCGCCAGAGGCGCAGCCCGGGCTCAAGTAAGTGCCGGCACAGCCGAGGGGGTGAGCAGGCCCCGGCCCCCGCCCCGCTCCGACCGCTGCGGGGCCTCCCCCGCCCGCTCCCCGCCAGCCCTGCCTCAGCAGCCGCCACCCAGCACCCCGGAGGAGACGGCGCTCCGCCCGCCCCCAGGCCCGCACTCACCACCGCCGGGCCCTGGCTTTCCGTGCGGGCCAGGGCCGCGGCCGCCTTCAGCCTGTGGCGCGTCCGGCAGCGCCCGGCGCCGGGAGGCTCCCGCCGCTCCTCCCCTGGCGGGCGACGGCGGCGGGCACCCTCCGCCAGGCGCCGGGACGGGTCCGCCATCGGCGGCGGCGTTGCCACAGGAACAGCTGCCCGCGGGCGCGGAGCTGAGCCGGGATCTGCCGGGAGCGAGGCCGGGCTCGTCGCCGTCACATCCGCGCCCCGCGCAGTGACGCCATTCCGGGGCGGGGGCTGGGGAGGGGCCGGGATGGCAGCGGCGAGCGGGCGGGTTGCGGCCCGCTGCGCCGCCCAGTGAGTGTTCGCGGGGCAGCGGCAGGGCTGGCGGTACGGAGCAGCCCCGGGGAGCAGCCTGGGCGGCGGCGGCCCCGGACGGGTAAAAGCGAGGGGAGTCGCGGTGGTGACGGCGCCAAGGCGGAGCGCGCTTTGTTCCGCAGGTGGCGGCTGGCGCGGCCTGCGTGTCCTCTCGGGGCGCGGGTGGCCTCCCACGGCCGCGGGAGAGCCGCTTCCTGCCCCAAGGGCTCCCCGAGGCAATGGCAGAGCCCGCCGGCGGCGCCAGCGGGAGCTTGGCATTGTCTGCCAGAGCGCAGAGGACTCCATGGAAGACTGGAGTTGTCTTGTGGTTGGTTGGGCAAGTAAAACATAAATAGCACGTAGCAAAGAGGAGATAGATAAAGCATTTCCTAATAAGCCGTTATTAGGAAAGAGAAAAATAACTGTCCTTACTGATTTTTGCAAGTGCATACCTGGAGTAGATACAAGTGTGCAAAGGACACGGACGAGGCCAGTTGTGCAGGCTGCCGCAGGTGGGGCACAGCCTGCCACAGTACCTGCATGTACCAGGACTTGGGTAAAACACAAGCACAGCCAGCCCTGTCCCTTTTCTTACCGACAGTCAGTATGGACTAAAGTTTGCAAAAGCACACGTGAATTCACAGATGCCCAGAGTACCAGCACAGCCCTCTGTTCATGTGATAGCCCTGCCCCATATCCTGATCCGTTTTACTCATTCCCATGCACCAGCTGGTCCTGCTTCTTGCTCAAGAGTAAATGCCTGCTCTGGCACTTCCCAACAGGTACTCCACTCCTAAAGATCTCCCCAGGTAGCAGCACAGGCCTATCGTTCATTACTTGCCTGCTCCTCACCAGGTAGCCCACGTTGACGATTGCTCAGGAATTACATCACTGCTCCCAGTAATTTTCCCTGGTGTTCAGGGCAGATGCAACCTCTCTTATGTCCTCAGCAGGCAGCATCAGGCATGTGGGCTGTGACCTGCAGCCCTGCTTTGTGTGTGGGTGCCAAGACTCACTGTTTTACTTTCCTCAGTTTCCCAGCAGGTGCATTTGGGGCACACATACCCATCCTGCCCCCGCACTGGCACCTGCACCCTTCGCTGGCATCAGGGCCACTACCCACTCCCATTGCTGGCACAACAGGAGGGATTTGTATCTCAAATAGTTGTACTCTGTTAACTTGATAAATGCTGTGTGCATGTGTCAGCTCATAGGCAAGGTGGGACCCTCTTGGACAGTTCATCTCTGGGTCATGGAATTATAAAGGTATACTTGAAAGGCATTCCAGGCTCTTCACAGGGGTTTATAATTTCTGAGCTGAAAAGAAGCAATTGTAGAGGTAAAATGGATCTGGTTTGAGGTGCTGGTTTTCTAAACAGCTTTGAAAAGCAGAACTCATGTGGCCACTGCCACATGAGCAGCTCATCCCACATACCTCTTGAAGCTGGGGAACAATCTTTTCTTTGTGAGCCTGGCCCTCCTCCTTCTGCCATCAGGACCTTTGGAGTCCCTTAGTCATCAGCAGGATTTTTCTCTGCTGATTTTTGGGAATAGGTGTGTGGAGAGGTCCCGTGCTTCCCTGAGCAGCAGTCACAGCACTGGCAGTGCCTACACTGTTGAGAGTGGCATCTGCAGTCCCTGACAAGGGACAACTCCCAGCCCCATTTCTGGTGTACCCTGGCACCTCAGACAATGCTCCCTCAGGCACAGCAGCAACAGCTCCTCTGGGAAAGGAGCTCAGTGGAAGGTGCAAATTGTTCAATCCCTGAGTTTGCTTAGCATCTCCCATCTTAGCTACATCACCTGTAAATACATTAAAATTGTGATAGACCTATAGCAGTGCTCCTTCAGAGGTTTCTGTGCTGATGGGCTCTCTGCCTCTCTGCTGACTTTGTCTGAGCCAAAGCTGAGAGGCTGGATCGTTCTTCACTGTCCACACCAAAAGAGCTCAGCTTCAGTGTGCCCTTGTCTTCACTGTGGTTGAAGCCTTCACCAGCTTGCAGTTATCCACCCCTTTCCCATACTAGCTGGGAATCTCCAGCAGCATGACACCAAGAGCAGGAGTTAGAAATAGTCTGACCGCTGGCCTGCCCCAGGCTGGGTCCTCTTCAGTGCTATCTTCTCAACCTTTGTTTTAGGTTCCACCACAGGTGTGCACCTGCAACGGCACATGGGCAGGTACCGGGCAGTTCAGGGTTGTAGCCTGCTCTGCTGCAGACCTTCCAAGGGTCACTGTGCAGCCAGCTCAATGGAAATCTCTTTTGGTTTTGCTCCTTCTGGGCAGCGAGTCTCTGTGATCGCATAGAGATGCTTTAATTCAGAGCTGCCACGAGATGGCAAAATACTCCCCAGCATCCCCTCCAAGCTGGCTTGCGTGCACCGCAGGCTGGAGCCGTGCGGGACTATGGGGAAGCAGCAGCAGCAACAGCAGCTGAATTTCTCTCCCTTCATCTTAGCCTGCTGCTTAGTGTGCATACTCTGAAATGCTTCTCTAAAAATCTCTGGAGGATCAAGACCTGTCCATTTACTCGTATCCCTGAAGTCCAAGGCAGAGACTATGACTGCTCACAAGAGAGATGAAACACTTGATAATGTCTCTGCTGAGGACAAGGACCTTGCACAGTGACAGCAAGTTAAGGCAGAAGGAGACCTTTCTGTTTTTATTAGATGAGAAACCTGTGTGATGTTTCTGCGTATATTAAAAGAACTGATAGCCTCACTTGAGAGCTTTTACTTCTCTAGCCTGTCTATTCTCTGTATCCTCTCTCCTAAACTGCTGTCACAGCTCAGTACTAGAGTAAATGTCAAGGGTCCAAAAGCATCTCCACTTCCACATCCTGATGCTGACCTGAAGTCATGTCAGCATGATGGCAGAAGCAACAAGCCACTTTTACCTCCCCCATAAGAGAGAAGTGGGATTAAAGGCCCCATAGAGATTTAGAAAATATCTCCTAGTCTAGTGGGAAGGTGCCGGTTTTGCAGGGGTAGGGCTAATTTTCTTCACGCTATCAGACTGATTTGAATTTGTGCTGAAAACAGGGCTGATAACATAGGGATGTTTTTTTCCTACTGAGCCAAGGTCTTTGCTGCTCCTCACCCACACCACCAGTGAGGAGGCTGAGGATGTACAAGGAATCATGAGGGGACACAGCTGCAACAGCTGACCCCAAATGACCCAAGGGATATCCCTAACCCATATTGTATGATGCCATGCTTAGCATGTAAAACTGGGGGAAGAAGAAGAAAGGGGAGGAAGTTCAGCATGGCATTTGTCTTCCCAAGTCGTCCTTACACAGGATGGGGCCCTGCTTTCCTGGAGATGGCTGAACACCTGGCTGCCTATGGAAGCAATGAATTAATTCCTTATTTTGCATAGCTTCTTTTTGTGACTTTTACTATCCCTGTTAAACTGTGTTTATCTCAACCCATGAGGCTTTTTCACTTACTGTTCCAGTTCTCTTCCTTATCCCACTACAGAGGTGTGAGAAAGTAGTTATGGGGTGTTTAGTTGCTGGCTGGGGTTAAACCACAACGGTCCTTCTTTGGACCCAATGGGGAGCTCAGAAAACTCAGATTATGACAGACTAGATTGGAATGTGCTAGATGAAACTCTCAGCTGTTATGGCTGTTAAATAATTAATCAGCAGGCTGCAGTCTTGCCCACAGGGGTCGCTTGCCTGATGCTGTATTGCAATCCAGTGCTTGTTGGCGGCTGTTTGCTGTAATGCTCTGCTTCTTATCTCACTCAGCTGTGCCTGGGAACATTTTGATAATAGCCACGGTGTGCCTGGGCTGGCAGGTGGCCAGGGCATTGGAGCTGTCTGCTGCACTGGACAAGTTGGAATTCCAGTATGAGCTTGAACCAAACGGGCTGTGACCTGTGGATGAGACCACAGTACAGGGGAAGAGTGTGAGAAACCCTTTTCCTGAAGAAGAAGGAGAGGCAGGATGTGAGCCAGGTGATGAGGTAGGGATTCGCCTGCAGCCCATGATGAAGACTTGGTCAGACAGGCTGTCCTTCTGTATCCTCTGGAGGTCCATGGTGGACCTTGCTATAGCAGGAACCCCTGTTTCAAGCCAGGCTAGAAGCAAGGTGAGGAGATCATTACACTCTTAAACCCTTCAGTCTGGCACAAAATGCCTTTAAATTGTTGTAACCCATTATTTGAGTTTTGCTTACAGGAATTACTGCAATAGGAGCCACATGAACCAATAGAGTACAAGTCTTACAATAAACCGTGCAAATGCAGCAGTGACTTCACCTGAGCTGGCTCTAGGCCACAGTACCACAGCACATCACCTCTCCTATCCTGTCCTGAGTGACCAGCAGAACAGACAGAGCCTCAGCTCATGGGCCCTGAAAGTAATTCAGCTGGCATTCTATGGACATATGTTAGTATTTGGTGGGCTTTTGCAGGGGGTGTCCATAGACTAAGGGAATTATATCTGTGTATTATATCAAAGGATGGAGAGGAAATAGGGGCTGTCAATGAGATTCTATTAAATAATGTAGGACTACAGCATGACAAAAATTGTATGAGTTTGGCTGGGGTAGTTTTCTTTACAGTGGCTAGTATGGGGCTGTGTTTTGGATTTGCACTTAAAACAGTGATGACAATATAAAGCATTTTCTGTTACTGCTGAGCAGGGTTTCCACAGAGCCAAGGCCTTTGTTGCTCCTTACCACACCACCAGGAGGAGGCTGGGGATATAGAAGGAGTTGGGAGAAGACAGGACACTATCAGTTCAGCTGGCCTTAGTGGACTCAAGGGGTATCCCACACCCTGTAGTATCATGCTCAATATATAAAGCTGGGTGAAGAAGAAGGAACCAAGGGGGAGGGCATTTGTCTTCTGAAATTACTGT